TTAGATATTAAAACCTTTATTTAAATTCTTACACTTTACTTACATATAAGAATAATATTTTGTGATTTACTTATCATTGCACTTTAATTTAACACAGGAATAATGCATTGTAACAAATTAAATTTAGTATCATTTAAATTAGATAGACATAAAATATTAAGCGTATCTGATTTGCCCATCATCAGCCAAAATGATATAGTCATGAAAATGAGAAATAGTTAATAGTCAGTGTGTTAAAAATACACTGATTATTCAATGTTAAGCATAGAAGAACTTCCAGCTTTCATAGCGTATAGCTGTTTCTTCCCACATTTCCGATTACATCACATGAACTGAATGCGTAACTGTGATTCTAGGAAGTTGTATATAACCAATAAAATAGAGAAAAAAAGATAAACTATAGAAAAGTGATAGTTGGAATGTAGCAGCAGGTGTCGTACGATATTAATTATGCATCAAAAGCGAAAAGTTATCTCCATAATAATCATAAGCGCTTTGTAAGAAGAACTAAAGAACAAACATTAGCAGTGAAATTTATCTTAAAAGAGTAAACATTTAAAAAAATTGTTTGGGCAGTGTTTAAGAAATGCAACCTATGTCCATTTTACAACTTGCTAACTGCTTATTTAGCACTAAAATTTTTTTGAATGAAATAAAGCAGTAATACTTTCAGATTATAGAACCAAAATTACGTGAATTTTTACATAAGCATAAGAGCGATCTAATTTGAATCAATAATGAAAATGGCATGTGCACTATTTTTTCGCACTGTATTTACATGTCTGCAAACATTTATGTGAGTTTCTTCTCGCAAATTAGCGTATGAATTACTTCTCATTCAACGAAGGTTTTGCCCAAACTAAAACGCCTTGCAATGTTGCAAAAGAATTCAGTCTACAGTTTTTTTCTTCAGTAATGCATTCAGGTCTACCGCTTAAGCTCTGTCTTCATTATTAATTTCTGAGTATGAATTTACCTCGAATGTTAGGTGGTTCTTGTGGTCACAGCATATACTGGCCTAGAATTTAACGGCTTCAGTTGTTTTACAGGTTATGTTTATAGAAGCTTATAACTCATAAAAACCAAACAAAAATTCCATAATTTGTAATTAGATTTTATTCATCTAGGATACTTTTCTAACACTAATAATTCTTAAGTTAATTGGAAAAATCTCAGTAACTGATTTCCCCTGCTTTATTTGTCTCGAAATAATAGATTTTACTATACATTCCGCAGCTTTGAACTGGTATATAGCGATCATATTCACTATCTAATAAAGCTTGAAGTCGAAGGAGAAATCGCAGAGACACCTGCCATCCTTTCAAGATGAAATTAATTGAACTACCTATCAACATCGGTAGCAGAATACATGTCTCAGTGAGGAGATGAGATGCTGGATGCTGTGTTAGACTATTTCTGGCAAGTCTCTACATTAAAAAAGTGTTTAAACTATTGTAGATTTTGCTTTGCATCGCAATCCATTATCTAAATTACTTTGTTTTAACTATTCAAAAAAATTTAAGAAGACATTTTTGTTTCGAGGTTCGAGGGTTTTTTTTTTCCATTTCCGAGCTGATTAAATCATTTTCTTATACTGATGGTTTTATGTGTTTGTTAATCGGATAGGTTATTAAAAATATTTTAGAAACACTTCTCCTACTTTACTTTTTCTACTTCCTTTATTTGTTTTACCTACTTTAATAGAAAGATTACTTATGAAAAAAAGCACATTTGTTAAAAAGTCCTATTAAACTGACTTGCAATTTTATAATAAAATTTCTGATTATGCTTCAAGTAGTAAATGCAGTCATTTTCGCTTTAGACGTACTACAGTTTCAGAGATCTATTTCTATCGTCGTGCACAAGCAAAAAAGAATGTTATGCAAGATTATAGAATCCTACAGCTATTTAGCAAACTGTAATAGTTACTTATAGTAAGAAGGTGTAAAAGTCGGTACACCCCTTAGAGGAGACAATAATCACTTACATATAATTAGTTAAAAATGTCTTTCGTAATTAATAACGAGTAGAAAATAATGATTAGCAATTACAGACTTCCTGCTTCAGATATGCAAATTTTCATGAATATGTGCTGTGCAGTACTGTAATTTTCTAGGTTTAATAAACCGTTTAGCAAGTCTTAGAGCGGAGAATGATTCTTGCACAACAGTTTGTCTAATAGAGATTTCAGCATAGTTTTCTCTATATGAAAGGACGCATATTGACATTGTCGTTATATTTAATTGTCCTAGCATTGCTTAAGCACTCATTACACATTTTAGTTACCAAATTTTAAATAACAGTTCAATTTTATAAGCATATTCATTTTAAACAATGTAAAATAAGCTGTACATCAGATAGGTGACTTCACAAGGCTGATAATATTTAAAACTAATTATTATTATTAATTATATTATTAAAAACTCTTATTAAACGGTATTAAAAACTCTGCACGATGTTATTATTTCAATATGATATAAGAACTTAATTTTTCAATTTAATTCTTGGGTTTGTAAATTGTAAAAGTTTCACTGAATGAATAAATGCACCAATGTTCTTAAATAATATGCCAAATATATTTCCATAGGGAATGATTTATCTGAGAAGTTATTAAAAGTATTTTAATGCAAACTCAAGGAAACCTTGGAAAAAATATTTATGGGTAAAGAAACTTGTAATTTTGCTTTTAAATTTCAATAAATATATAACATGCAGGAATATATCAAAGTATGTTGGATCATTGACAAAGAAGCATTGTAGATAAGAAAACAAATAATAAAGTCTTTTGGAAACTTCTAATGTCCATTCCCGGTCTGTATAATTAACAACTTTTGCACAAGCTTTTAAAAAGTTTATTTAGGTGGTCATGACACGCTCAGACAGTGCATCATCCAACAAGGATCGTGTATTTTTGTGCGAAGTGAGGAGTTGCGTTCTGCATTTATGCTTCCAAGATAATCTCTTACTTTACATACGGTATATAGGTTACGGTCATTTAAGAGAACCCAGATCATTAGATCTATTTCTTCCCACAGCAGCATTTTCTGAACACAGAATAAACAAAAAAACCAGACGTTATCATCCATTAAACCGAATAATTGTCTAACGGCGCTAGAGGATTTCTTTCATAATGTTCAGTAGCCTCCTGGTAATAACGCTGAGCATTGAAGGATTCTCATTTTAATACCAACAGCTCTTTACTTCTCATAAATCTTTATTGAATCACTTCTGTAATAGCCAGCTTCAACAATGTTTTTGCCATCATGCACGAGGCAAGTTTCATGCCGCAGGTATACTGTATCCTAAAATTAGTCTAAAAGCAATCTCCTATTTGAACAGGCAACAGCTTAGTATGTTTTGCGCGTGACGGAGTTACTTTAGCAGTTTGTGGATATAGATTGAATTACCGTATTAAATTAAATCATGGTCAATCCCTCGATGATTACCTATTCAAGGGCAGAGATGCATTTGAAGACTTCATTTTAAGGGAAATTGATTCGCATTTACTTTGCTTATGACTAAGGGCATAGAAGCTAACTTGAAGCACACATTTAAATATACTCAGAAGTGATATTTTTCTCCCCACAGTTGATTGCAGTTCTTTAATCTGCTAGAACATGACGCGGTGGCATCGTTTCCTCTGTTACTGTCACATGATGATATTTGCTCAAAATTCTTTTGAACAGCCGAGGCAGACCTTACGGTTGCTGATAGGTTTCCTGAAAATTGTTTCCATAACCATGCAACTACATATTCGCATACATGCAATTCCGATTTCATGTGCTCTCTTGTTCTATTAGTCTTTCAATTTGTCCAAAATTCTGGAGTAGATGAAATCAACTATGATGAATTCAACTATGCTTAGTAGATGAAATCAACTATGCTTTATGGATGATTTTGTCTATAGGTCGTCACAAACAAAATAAAAGGAAAAAATGAATTTTTTGAAATCAGGCACTCAATTCTTCTGGATTTATTTCCGTACAGAAGACCTCCCCTCTGTCATACGATTTTTAAGAATTTTGGGAATTCCTAGACAGTCAGTTGCATCTGCCTCAGTGTATGTCAGTAAATGATGTTAGCAAGTTTCTCTACTAAGTACTTACATCTCAGTCCTATAATTTGCAATTTTTTTCTGACTCTTGATTTATAGACATCTGGTTATAGAAACATGTAATAGTCATTATGGAGGAACTAGAAGTTAAGGGAATTAATTTCATAAGATTTCATGGAAAGTTAAGGCATCGAGATCGTATGTCTTTTTATTTACGAAAAATTATTGGATGTTGAGTTTGTGGAGGTAAATAAAATTTTGACACCTATCGATAAAATTTTTGTAGTAGTTGTTTACTGAGCAAATGTTGCATACATGATGAAACGAATCAGAAGCAAATCTTCAGAAATTCCGTTTGTTACCTAAAAGAACATATTTGAAAGATGTCTATTGCTATTTCATATAAAACTTATATAAATCCGGAAATTTATCTCGACTTCTGCGATATGGTGTTTAATTATACTGTAAGACAAGCATTTATAATTATTTGTAAAAGAAAAATTAAAGAAATTAAATTACTTGTAAATGATATTTTAATAGGTAATCTAGCAGGAAAATTTTTTTATTTTTGTGCAAATTTAATGTTGGAAAGACGATGAAAATGAATCGTCAGCTGGGAAATTATTTAAAAGATTTTTTTAGTTTTTAATCACTTTTATACACCTTCAAATGCATTATAAATGCGTAAGAAAAGATGAAATAAGAAATGAATACGAATTGGTGGAATCTGTAATAAACAAATCTGCACAGAAAAGCATTCGTATATTGTTTATATTTGGAATAAAATGCATTAAGAATTACTTAAATTAAAGTACAAATGTTTGTTTATACATAAGACATTTGTGAAGGAATTGAGAATTAACGGCAATAACATTAAATAATTTGTATAAAATTAAAATAAAATATTTAGCATAATATTTTCTAGACAAACTATGCAAATGAGTATCTAAATAATGTTATAAATAGATGTCTTAAATCATTTCTTATGAGGCAGAAATAAGAGGCATTTAAAACAGTACTATACTTTTTTTTAGTTATGAACATTTTAATTTGAAGACAAAAGAAATGCTGCCTCTTGGGAAGATGAGAAAAATGACTCGTAACTGAAAATGTTCATTTTTTCTTAATTTTTTAATTCTTTTTTATTTTTCAAATTTATTTTGTTTTAAGAGGTATAAAAAACACAGTAAATAACCCAAAGAGCTGAGCTTATTGAAGGGAAAAATTGGCGAATTGGAAGTATTGTTAGAATGAGTGTAGAGGTAAAATGATATTGTTTTCATCAGCAAACAATTTAAACAACTACAATAAAAAAATACTAAAACAGCAAACAGAAGTCTCGAAGGCCCTAAAAATAAAATCAAGATATTATTAAATGCACTTAATGTTATCTATATGTACGATTTGCATCTATTTTCTAACTTGTAAAAATAAAATCTTTCTTCCACTGACTCTTCATTAGTAGTTAAATAGTTATCTAATTTATTCAAATTTAAAATTAGATATAAATGCATATTCTCTTGAAATGTTCCCTTTAAATACGTTTTAGTTACTTCCGAATGTAAAGAATATTCCATCCTTCTCATGTCTCCGAGTACCCAATTATTAACTTGAAAAATTTCCGGTGGCTAAAATACCAGCATAATCTAAATTTCTATAGCGAACGCCTTTCTTTTGGGTTATCTGCTATCATTCAAATACGTAAACCAGTAAATTAAATTGATGAACAAAAATACAAGTGGGAAGACAACGCGAGAAGCCTTGTCTACCTTGCTGACACTGTTCAGCTGGAAGTGTGGCATCGATCCTCGGCGGTTCATGTAAGATTTTCTTCTATCTTGGAGGGATATACTTCGCCTCGTGCGGGATACGCAGCCATTTTGCGAGACACCTGTTAAGGGCACATCATCCGCAGTGGGCAAATTTGATTGCTGTGCTTGGCGAGATAATGAGGGTGAAGCTGTTCCTTCTTCGACTGCCTCAGCTGCTTCCTCCGTGCAAAATATTGAAATCTAATTAAAAGAAAGATTCACTTATAATGATTGCGTTATGCTGCATTTTACTTCCCGTTAATATTAAGTGTGCACGAAATATTTCTTGAAATTCGTACGCTTAATATTAGCACTGGAATAAAACTTGAAACTGATGGAATAATCGAAGTAACTCGTAGCTTGCATTTCGACAAATACGTCAATCATTGTCCTTAATTAAGTGTCCACTGTTGATCCAAATAACGTCGCGCTTCTGCTCATTTAGGGAAAATTATTCGGAATAACTTAATGGGATACTGCTAAATTAATAAGTAAATAATGGCAAACAGTAAATTTCCACAGGCATTAACACATCATTCTAGTTGATAATAACTCAGGCTTCGATAAATGCTTGAAGTATCTAACTTTGAATTCTACCTCTGGTTAACAAGGGAAATCAATCAATTAAATAATAAATGTTTGTCTCAATATGTAAAAGCATTTCCCATTTTAATAAATTATTTAACTAATTACATGGAATTAATAGTCAGATGGCTTGAAAATTGCGTCACTCTCTTTTAACTCTTTCGCATCGAGAGAGGGCAAAATCTCAATTCCCCAAATATCGAAAACGCCCGTATCTAAGAATTTCTCCTGGAATGCTTTTCCTTCCCCTATGACAAGTTGAATACTACAGCGCTAACAATAGCCTTACTTAAGTAAAGCGAGAACTTCTTTCTTCGACGCTTTGACACTGTGGTGAAGTTCCCCCTTGGGACGGGATTGCAACTTCGGGCATCAAAAGCTAAACACTGACAGTAAATAAAGGAAAGGAAGGAACAAAGGAAACAAGGAAGCTACTTTTAGTAGCTTCAAAAGAATGATTGACATGTGATTTAACAACACCTGAAAGCAATGAGTAATGCAGTAACGTGATGGGGGAAAGCACTTGGTAGGAAATTATTCAGGCGTTTCGGGCGTCCAGCCGATGTCTGAATACTCGGGCGGTTGGGGCGACTTCGATGCGAAAGAGTTAATACATTTATTGTCAGAGTACAATATCAGGGTATTGTTTTTTTATAGCAGAGATAAAATAGAACAAGTGCATGCATAAAAAATTACGATTAAATGATGGACCATGTACGTTTAGGACCTCCTAAACTGTTACATGTAATAATTTAGAGTCTTGAAACAAAAAAAATCCCTTTTGATATATTATATTTCACTGCCTAAGAAAATTTCTAAGATAATAAGAAATATAACAGAAAAAATTTAACATTATGTTGTGTAGGCGAAAACAAAAACTGGAAAGGCATAGCTTTATTTGTCTCGGAAAAAAAAATTATTCAGTGCTTTTAACACTAGGCATTAGAATTTTTTTTCAAAAGCGCTATTGCTTGTCGTAAACTGAATTTACTCTCTTACGGCTAAATCGTTTTCATAAAATTCCATATTTTCCTCTCAGGTAAATATTTAACACAAACACATAGCTAGATAGTACAGTACAAATATAAATAATTACATATAATGCAATAGCATATGGCATGTACACTTTTGCTCAAAGCTCGCAGCAAACAGACAATTGTGAATAATTAAAAAACAAAATTCCGTGCATTTGACTAAAATTTACAGAGTATATTTTCTTGGAAAGATGATATCAGAGCAAAAAATAAAATGACTACAAAGTAAAATGTTCGAATTTTGATTTTTAAAACTTCATTAGACAAAAACAGCAATAAAATTTTTATCAGTGATAGCGATCTAATACTGTGCATGATAGCGGAAATACAATTTTCATAACGAGGTTTATGTTTCCAGTAACAGAGCTGATCAAATTTCTCGATGGTAATCCCTGTTCTTAAGAAAAGTAAAATGAAGACCATGAAAAACACGGGAGAACTAATGTAAGACAACAGGTATATAAGTCCTTTTAATACTTGGCATACATATTTTATTTCACTTCTGCTTGCGTAACAAGCCATCGTAGGTGATTTTGTTTTTCATTTTTCTCAACCAGAATGCCAAAACGAGAACATGATTTTGAAATCCCTATCCGCTGCATCAAAAAATGGGCTAAATTATTGAGGTATTATAACGTATTAATCCACCAGAATGCACGCAAAATTTTTCATTATTGCCCCTATTCATACTGCTAAAGCAAATTTTCTGGATATGCTAATTAGTTATACCATGAGAAAACGCCCAGGGTAATGCGATAACTTCATACAACTTTAAAAAAATACTCTTCGGCCATAGATGAATATCTCGGATATCCGTATTAGTATTTCCTGAACACTGTCTGATTCCTTGCCTAATGCTTCCAAAGTCAGCATTTAATGAACATTAAATTGTATCGGTATATCGAAATGCCTTCGACTGGCATTCCTATTGACCTCTAATGCAATATAATGTTCAGACGGGCTTTTAATCATTGTTTATATTGCGGTTACCTCGTATTTCATGCAGCAGTCAAACTTCGCAGTTTTAAACACAACCCATATTTGTTTGTTGATTTTAGATAAAGCAAACCACATAAAGACAGGAAGGATTCCAAATGACAAAGGAAGGATCCCTTCATGGCAGACGTTTTACAGGAACTTTTCGTTTTCATGCTACATAAAAAATCGAAAATCTCTTGAAATCAACACATTTGCCACGATCAGAAAAGCAGGATGTTTAGCGGGTTCTGTGAAGAGACGGGAAAATCCGCTCTTTAGTGGGATTGGAGCAGAACGGTTCGTTCACTGAAATTAACCGGTTCTTTTTTACACTCACCGCTCACTAACAACAACCTTGACGAAAAGGATCTGAAAAGACGACAGAATAAAGAGCAGCTAAGGAGGATGGAGCGAAGGACAGAAAGAATTGAAAGCGTATAGGGATCAGGACAATTGAGCCAGGCTGGAGCGAATAATGAAAGAATCTAACGACGAGTGGAATCGGAAGTATTGATTCAACCGAAGGCTAACTCTCTGAACTGATTTCTTTTAACTACTGATCAGAGATTGCATAAAACCTCCTTTCTACGCAGAACTAACAATAAAATTATAGAATATTTTTTTTTCAAATAGTTGAGAAATGATAAAAATTAAACTCATAGTTAGTATGGAAGGATAAAAATTTTTTTGTCCCTAAAATGGAAGAACTCCATTCTTTTTTCGCCAATCAGAAGTAAGCTCATTCAGTAAAGTGAATCAGTTTGTAGAGACATTAGGTAATTTTTGGAAGCAGGCAAGATGAAAAATTAGCAACGACTTTGCCGGGAATCGAACCGCGGACCTCTACAATACGCGCCCCACGTGCAGACCACCACACCACGAAGGCATGCCAAGAAGGCGGGAGAAATACCTTATATACTCCCCCTTTAGGGCCCAGTCGCCAAATTCTGGATAGGGAGATTCATCATCTACCACTCGTTAGGGCGCCACTGTAGAGACATTAGGTAGATTGTTAAAGCCGGACAGATGACAAATGAGCAACCGCCTTCGCTGGTAATCGAACCACGGACCTCTGGAGTACTCGCCCAGCGTGCAGACCACCACACCACAAAGGCATGAGAAGAAGGCGGAAGAAATACCCCATAAGTTCATGAACCAATAGCACATCTCCATTCCTGGTAGGTTTCTGACAAGAACTCTCCGTGAAGTGCCACTTCGTGCATTTTTTATGGAATCGGAACAAATTCATCAGCTTTTTTAATCAGTTCTGGAGTAGATCAACTCTAGCTCTGTGTTCAGCGGGCTTAATCTCAAAGCATTAGTAGTTAGTCCTAATAGCAAACAAAAGTGAGTAAGAATTATCTTGTGTTCAATTGAGGTCCTTTATCCATTGACTTCCTCGATGGTTTTGTCAAGAAATCAAGAGTTTTATTCGAAGTTCTCGTATTCAACTCCAAAGAAGATCATATTGAATTTTTCAAGATTCACCTTCCTTTCTCCTCAGCTATTTTCAGCAAGACTTCATTTCGAAAGACGGACTAACCCTTGTGCGAGTTTATTTGAGGTACCTAACCTAAAACCACGTTTTATACCAAACGTGTTTGAATCCAGGAGAAGGCCATGGAGGCTGCAGGTGTCATTCTTGCGAAGGGGACATGTTAATCTTCTCTGTATCGTTCCAATTTTGGTATATGTACTCTAAAATCTAGACACATAAAATACACATCCAACTGAAGTTCCTCTTGAATGGTTTAGTGGTAAGCGAAGAAGGACGGGACACCCCTGGACCGTATACGCGAGGATCTTCCTTCAAAATTGGGACGAAATGGGAAAACTCGTACTCTTACTTACAAGGTGCTTAAGGCCCATGCCAACTACAAACACAATTCTGCGATGCTAACCATAATACAATTTGTGAATTTGTTTTGATGTTACAGAGAAAAGCGAGAGGTCTTTCGGCTAGTTTATGGCTGCTTTAAGTTTTCCATGTTGCAAGGTATACGTTAGAAAACATCCAAGTCTCCTCCTGGACTCGAGCCTGGAATGATTCGGCAGCCAGCAAATCAAACCGCCATGCTGATCGTGGCGGCACCCATATTATTAAATTATCTCACTACCCGAGAATTTTTTTTTTTTTTGCAATTTTATGTCCATTGCTAATACATTAAAACCTTAATAATGTCATGCGTCAACGCTTTTTCCCCTCGATAGACCGTGCACTCGGACTTCCGAGAAATGAACTTTATTATTTGAAATCATCTTAAAACAAAGACTTGGAAATTTGCCAGTTACTAAAGTTCAGATTTTCCCCAATCTCGTCTATCATTCATAACAGATCTTCTCGATCTTATAGTTTGTATTTTGCTGCAAAAGAGGCCAACTAATAGAGCGAACAATGGACCAACAGTAAAATTGCTTCATTTTTACTCTTTCTTTCAAACTGTAAACTGAAACTTTCATCTGTAAACTGATTACCGTGGAACTTGAATTGTCTAGATCAGCGATTCTCAACCGGTGGTACGCAAAGAAACACAGTATTTTTAACTATTAAATTCAAAAATCTCATAAAAAAAAAAACAGTTCATAGAAATCTCCTGCGATCAAACTCTTAACTGAAGATTTACAAAACAATACTTATTAACTTTTGGCTGAACCGAAAAAAAAAAAAAGAATTTAAAAGCATTTCAAATAAAGCTATTAAATTTTTATCACCATTTAGCAGAACCTGTTTGTGTGAACAAGGATTTTCTTCCATGTTATGCTTGAAAAATAAATACAGAATAAAATTAAAAGTGGATTCTAATTTAAGGTTAAAGGATATAAGGTTATTTCTCCCACCTTCTTGGCGTGCCTTCGTGTTGTAGTGGTACTGCACGCTGGGCCGGTATTCCAGAGGTCTGTGGTTCGATTCACGGCGGCGTTTGCTAATTTTTCATCTCTCTGGCTTCCAAAAAAAATATCTAATGTCTCTACAATCGAAGTGAAGTAAGTCCAGACACAAAGAAATTGATCTCCCTTAATAATTCAAATTGATTAAGATAATTTTGATAACTAAATTGGTAACCAATTTTCAAACTAATATTTTTTATGTGTGCATGTTTAATACAAATAGACAATAAGTTGCGCAAATGGCAGAATATTTTTATTGAGAAATTGAAAAATATACACTGTAAAATGTAATGGCGGTACTAAGGCTTTTCAGTATTTGTTTAGATGGTACGCGTTAGTCAAAAGGTTGAGAACCACTGGTTTAGATTAACTAGATCACAACCCCACCCGGATGACTATGTTAATTTTTTTCTGTAGCTCAAATACGTATTTTCGCTTATGTAAATGAAGTAATTTATTTTTTTGCTATGACGTTTTAGCTTCCTAATGCAATATTTTTATTTTTTTAGTCAGAATACGAAATATGTTTACACAAGATTATGGAAGCAAAATACTTTATTTTTGCTTCCAAAAAAAAGTAATATGCCTTCAGATAAATTACTTTAGTTCTCTTTAATTGAATTCTTGACTGGTAATCATTTTTATTAATTATATCAACAAAATCCCAAAAGCGCGTAAACATATTAAGAGTTAGGTTAATATTAATGGGCCTCGTAAGGTGGTGTGGTGTATTTAATTATGGCAAAGCACACTAGGGCTATCTGCCTAAGGGGAGGAATGCCTTCGTGGAGGACCTCCTAAGGGAAACTGGCTCGCATACACGTTACACATGGGGAAAACCACGAAAACGACCATGCAGCCAGCCCGTTCGCGGGATTCGAACCTCCGACCGAACTACCAGTGTTCAGCGACTTTACCGCTCGGCCGCTGGTGGTCCTTCCTCGTAAGGAGAAAACGCGTTCGTTCGAAATAACTGGAATTCTACTTCAGTACAGGAGTTTTTCAGTTAACAGTCTTACTGAATATAAACTTAAGTTTCTTTTCAGAAGCAAAAGCAATTCTGATTGAAGTAAAAATTAATTAAAAATACTTGGGTTCACAATTTCATTTAAAGAAACAATAAGCCATCTCAAATGTTTTACTGCTAAGTAAGTGGATTTAAGTTTCAAAGAATAGACTTAAATCTACACTGCTTTATTGACTTTTATTTTTAAGACTGGCATTATTTGTCTGAGCTTAATGCATTCTGCAGAACCAGCTGTTATGATTCGTTTACTATATAAAGTAAAGGACATTAAAATAAATAAGAATTTGTTTTCTTTGATATTTACCTTAGATGTTTCTGAAGGATTGAAATTAGCATCTATTTTCTGACAACTGGCTTGATCATCTTCGCTTTCAGGTAACTGTGATGAAGAAGTAGGAAAATAATATTCTCCGCTACCAACTTTTGTAAAATGATGAACGATAGCAAACTGAAGAATAGTTGCAAATATAAAACCGAAGCTGATAGCTACATAGTAGTCCAATGCAGTGCAGTACGGAACCTTCGGGAGGTTGTTGCGACATTCTAAGCCTAAGAATGTCATTGTTAACACAGTCGTTACACCTGTTTCAAAATAATAATGTTTCAGTGAAATCCCAAAGGGACAAAAAGGATTATTTTGAAATTTAAAAATCCTTAACATTTTTTATGAAGTTATGTAACAAATCACATTAAGAAAGTTATTATTATTATTATTACTATTGTTGTTATTATTATCATTAGTAGTGTTAGCAGCAGAAGTATAAATTTTCAGCAGCAAAAGGAAACAATGGAATTGCAGTTTGATGCCGCTAAAAAGAAATGAAATTAGTATAAGAAAATTCTTCACATATAAAAAGAAACTCGGTAAATCCTTTCGCTGCAGTGCAATTTCTGCTGTAAATACTATAGGATTACATATCAAATACTGTTCTAAATTACAATATACTATGTTCCAGACTGAAATGGCGGCATTAAAACATGAAATATACTAATGATGAGATAAACTAATAAGTACGCATTCTTGTTTTCTAAAACATTATTTCCAATTTTACAGTTAGTGCCAACAGCTTAAAATAACTAAACTACAGATATGAAAATTTAATACTCTACCGTTTTATATCACATCCCTTTCAAATCAGCTTCAAGAGAACTGTTTGCTTTTTGCAATAATAATCGCGTATTTGTTGACTAACTCCGGCGGTCTCATTTGCCTCTGGTTTAATGTGACCAAAAACAAAATTTTAATAAAATAAATGAACTGTTCTTAAAGGATAAAATGCCTTTCAAGCGAGAGCAGATAGTAATATAACGGAACTGTATAAAAATTGAATGCGCGGAACATTGTCTTCCCACAGCAATCTCGACCATGAGCACAAATACCTATGTGTCTTCCCACAGCAATCTCGACCATGAGCACAAATACCTATATATATAAAATATGTGGGATTCAAATAAATTGTTTTATCCTTTATGCAGTACTTTGATAGAAAGATGATTTATATTCTCCGGCAATGACTTCAAACTCTGTAAGTTGCTGCAGAGTAAGAGAGAGTCCTTTTCCATTGCTGAAAACGTTTAACGATCAAGCTAAAATGACAAAACATCTTATATTTCCATATGAAAAAAAGAAACGAAAGTTCACTATTAATGTGCTATGCACCATAAACTTTACTTACATATTCCTTATACAAATGCTTACATATTCCTAAAATTTTCTTTGTTAGTTTATTGCAAATTCAATCTTTGTCAACTATATATTAATCTGTTATGAGAAAATCGTAAAACATTGATTTATTTAATATTTTGACAGCATTTATTACCTGGATTAATTCTGATTACTTCAATAATAGTCTTCGTTAAATCATTACTTTTTGCCGCTAATCAATATATCTTTATTTATACGTCTAGCTGTTTGCATTATGAAAATTTCATATTTCAGTGGGATTGCAAAGTAAGGTATCAAAATTCGCAAATGAATGCAAAACAAAAGTATTACTTTCCTTTTTCTAAGTGTTATGTGAAGTAAATTGCATATTTACAATTATATCCACTAGATAGCTTTGTAAATTAGAATCGTGAGTATAGATTAACAGGTCAGATTCGAACTAACCTGTGACAGTAAGAGCTTTAAAACTGTTATTGTCACAAGTCAGCAGAACGTAATCCTACTATGAAGTAACATGTTGTCCAAACTGGAAGAAAATTAAGCATCGAATTCTGTGAAATTCATGCAGCATCAGGCATCACTCCATGTTTTTCTTCCAGTATTCAACTCTTAATCTCAGTTTTGAAAATAATTTAGCGATAAGTCGCCACTTTCAGCGTGAATGGTCAACCAGATCTGTAGATTTAAACCGTGTAATTTGGGGTTACATGAAGTCACGAATATATATACATTACAGAATCTGTCTGAGAATCTTAAGTTAATCTGTCCAACAGCGTGCACCAAATATTCTTAAAGAAATGTTGATTCTTTCATCCATATGTCCTGATTCTCTTCAGATTGTGCTCAAAAACAACGGCTGTCACATTCTATGTTTATTATGAAATATTAGTTTGAGTCGAAACTCGGGTACCAGTAGCCCTCTGAAGGTACAATGTCAAGAAAATGGAGTTCATAGTGCGGTTTCTTCTGGCCGTTAGTGTTACCATATTTGCCGGCGTATAAGACGCTCTTTTTTTCTTTGAAAATAGGTCTGAAAAACGGGCTACGTCTTATAGGCCGATGCTCAGATTTTGATTACATTCATTTCTGGAAATTTCCTCTATTCGGAATTATGTGATTTTTTTCTGTTTCCTTGCATAGTGTGGGAATATTAAAGTTACGTAGAGTTAAGTAAATGCGCATGTGCTGTCATCGACGATGACAACTGGGTTCATTTAAACTTTCCAACTTTTGTGAGCGACTTTTAGATATGTGAAATTTCTACTGTTCAGTTTTTTTATTCGCTGCTTAATGTCCATCCAGCGCAACATGGAACAGGTATTCATGCCCACCCAATGATGCTCAATACCCAAAATATTTCGGAAAATGCAATTTGCATATATAAAGACGGTTCCAAACTCGATGAAGGAGTTGGATGCAGCTCTGTAATAATATGTAACAATAAAGTTTTACAAGCATGGAAAGGGCCCATAGAATTAGGAAATACGGTATTTCAAAAAACAAAGCTGAACTGGCCGCAATTAAGAAGGTTATCGTAGTGACGGAACAATTTGATGGGCACACCAGGCAGCCTTTCCGTTATTTATTCAATCCGTAATCCCTATCATCCCTCTACTTAGATAGCTGATATCCAGGCTTTGCTTAGAGACAGCGAAAATTGAAGAACTATTCATATTACTTAAATAAAGGCACATGATGGATACCAGGGGAATGAAGAAGCCGATGAGCGCGCCAAAGAAACAGTAAGAAACATCAGTGCTCAGCCTGTGCCCATTCTGCTACCGAGATTTCATCTCAAGAGACAGATCTGGAAGAAGGCATTAAAACAAAAGCAAGAGAAATGGGATGCAGATCCTCAAGGTAGAAGAGCTTATGAATTTTATAATAAAGTTTCCACTGATCGACTTATCTCGGCCCCCTTTGTAACAAGTTGTAACGGGCGACGGCCCCTTCCCTGAGTATTTCAGTAAAAGGGGATTTGTCTCATGTAACCTCTGTGTGCGCGGCGAAGCTGATACTCCAGACCATTACACAACAGCATGTTCACTCACAGAGACCTGGCACATGCGGATGCCACTTGGTGATACACCATTCATGCGCTTCTTCATTAAGCAGTCTGCTTTGCTTAGAAAACTTAAACTCATAATGGAAAAACTGCAGGCTTCGGGACAGGACCTTTGTCATGTCACCTGGTGCACTAGAGATTCCTGCCCAGTCTTTCGGTACTAACTGTCTTATTTCTAAGTGTCTCGTTGTAGGGTACTAGTGTTCTTGTGCAGTATGTTAGTGTGCTATTTAGTGTGTGTATGATGGAAACCTGTACATGAAAACTTTGAAGTAACTAACGCATCCACAGCAACTATATATGTAAAATGCACCAGGATAACTTGTGTGTGTTTATATATATATATATATATATATTGTTACGAATTTGGTATTTAAAAAGCTAATGTTAGTTCAATTATAAATTAAATGGTTTTATTTCCTGCGCAGTGCAGTGCGTGTCGAATATTAAAAGAAGAAAGCTAAGCCGGAAAATTAAAAATACAAGAGCACGTGCATTTAACATTAAATAAATAAATATGTCTTTTTGGTTTCGAGAAAGTACCAGAAAATTCTCACACGCGATTTAAAAATCTTATAAAAGGAGGAAAACCTCTCAGTTTGTAGTAGTTGCTTAGTTGTTGTTGTTAAGAAAACTGCTCTTGTTGATTGTAGCGAATTCACGGATTAGCGTTCTTTAGCTGTTTTGAATTACGTTCTATTGGACATTTGAGTAGTTAAAAGATAACTACTTGGAGATATTGTAATACTGCATGATAATTTGGGAAAATTTAAGCATTTTTGTTGTGATAATAATAAATTTTTGTTCATGTTTCATCGGACTTGTGCATTCATTTCATAACGAACCCGTACGCACGCAACAATATATATATATATGTATGTATCATTGTAGTACGGGCCTGTAACCAAGAGTAATGTGTTCAATTATTAGTGTGGAATGATTATGTACGTGCAAAAGCGCACGCATATGTAAAACAAATATTATTGTATCAATATATTCCTGGTGTTTAAACCAAGGTGCACATAAAATGCATTACGGTAAGGTTTAATTATTAGTGTATAATACTTATGTAACATCTGCAGTGTGTTCATCACTGTACAATTATTGTATTGTGTAAAATGTTTAAATATCAGTTTAAAATGCTCAAATTTCAATATACAGCACCAACAAAAGTTTCTATTAACCTGACTCCTGACACCGCGCTTCTGGAGTGCCAAAGAGTACCCGAATAGTCTTAGTAAGTCGCCCGGGTGTCCGGATCCGCTCTCACCTATCACCTCCTCAATTTTCTTAAATGTGTTAGTAAGTTATGGCTCAAAAACAACGTTGGTATTACTATAACATAGCATACAAGCTACATGTGATTGCGTATCTAAAGGACATGGAAACAGGGCTGCAGAGAGGCATTTCGGACCACCCCCAGCTGAGAAAATGACAAGAACTTGGTGGAATCTGGAATGCAAACAGAAACTTCTCATGCTGTGTTAAAATTCACTACAGAATTTTACCGCATAATGCTATATTATCTTGCTATAAAATTCGCCGCCGAATTGCACGACAGAAGATACACAATTTGCAGGATATAATGACATACAATAGACCCTTAAAATGTTTTACAGCATCACTAAATGTGATCAGGTATCAGAAGCAATAGCTCTCTCAATAATAAGGCACAGTGTGATGGCCATGTGCTATTCTGGAGTGACGTGACGTGACAGCGTTGACCATGCCTCCTACATAAACGAGTTCTCCAGTCATCCGAGCTAATTTATCGCAGAACTCGATTCGGCTTCATTGCGATGCTCTGAAAACTCTTCTGCCTCGATATTACCCCCTATAAAGCTACGCTGTCAATGCCCAAAAGTAACTGGTAGAAGTCACAAATTATGATAGTACTGAACAGTCTCTACCACTCTACCAGTCTTCTGACACAGTGTTTTTTTCATTTAGCACAGTGTAAATTTAAGAGGTGAGAGTTAATATATCTTATTAACATACAGAGCATTTTTCAGTGTATTTGTAGCACCTCGCCTTTTGAAATGCCATCCTCCTACGCCTGTTGTTGCACCTTATGGAAGTTATTGACATCTGATTGGTACAGATATTTTATCAACATGAAAGTAAATAACACTACCATATAAGCAACCCGTATTGATACTCAAAAAACGAAAATTGTTCTAAGGAAGTGGAAGTACATGACACGCTCGCACTTTTAGACAATACTTTACTTTTAGCACTTTTACACGATACTTTTTACTTTTAGCCAATGTAAACAGGGAATAAGTGAATAAATATAAGTGACCTCATATATGCATATACCATACAAAAAACCCCAAATAAATGCTTGAAAATCAAGTTTTTTACTTATTTGTTCAAAGTATGCACCATATTACTTTCAGTAACCCATACAAACAAATAAAAAATACCAAATATTGCACAATAATTTATTTTACAACTCTATCGTTTCACAGAAATTGGCAGAATTTTTCTCATTATAACAATATTTCATCGCATTATTTTTCATTTATAACAATAAATACTTAAAATAGTACAGCTGTCAACAAATCAAAAAAGTAGAAAAATGTAAATTTAATAATTCTTGATAAACATTATATTAAAAAATACAAAGTTTCGCTAAGAACGTACTCACCCAAAGCTATTCGATCAGCTGTAGCTTCTCTGTTAATCCAGAAAGCAACCCAGGATAAAACAACAAGCATCGTACACGGAGCATATACTTCTATTATAAAGTACCCCATATGTCGTTTCAAATGGAAACTTACCATCAGCATAGAAAAAGGGCCTGAAAATAATTTTACAAAAGATTATTCAAGAAAGAAAACTACCACACTTTTTATCTTTTAGTTCCAACTTTGAATTTTGTCAAGTTGTAAAGATACTTATTTCCGGGAAGGAACTATAAAAACCAATAACACTATCGCCAAGATTTGAACTTCGGACCTCACGATTGCCAGCCGAACGTACTTCGCGATGTAATAATGCTTACTACAAAGGCACTCAGTAAGGAAGAAGAAATTTCTATACGAAGTAACATTTTTAAATGAACTGAATGATGTAATTTCGATAACTATAGGTTGTATGCTTTTCAAGAAACGTACGAGTAAGTATTCTTCTTTTGATTGCATACGTGAAAGCCTGTTGCTATCAAACAAGCACATATATAGCTGAAACTTCAATTTTGTGGAAATATAAAGTAGCATATAGATTAACACTTTGCTTTTACTACCTTTGCCTAAATACTTTTCAACATATCTTTGCCTGAATAGATTATTTTACTTCAAATAAGATACTTCCAAGGTGTTTATCTTTTCTGTCAAACAAATGTACAGAGGGTGTTTACACATAGCGTGATTACAGCTGTTTACAGATAGCGTTTACGGGCCGTTTAATTAATGTTTAAACTACGTAGAGTATTTTTTTAAATATTCAGTCTGACAGCATTTTTCTGGATCGTGATTTCCATGACAGAGGAGCTTTTCATAAGACTTCTAAGATTACTGATTTCCATTCCTCTTCCATTACTTTCCAGAGTCCATCAATGGTAGTGCGTTTGCGTTTACAAAGAACTCTATTCAAGAGACCACAGGCTGAACAGCACATAGATGAAACATTAAGGGACTTTGCAGAAATACATTGAAAAAGTACATATGCTATACTTTTATGGAACTATCAGTCTTCATCTTTTATGGAATAAAATGGTACTTTTCGAAGTATGACTTCTTGTTTTGTCTGGATAAAGTTTCACTTTTTGAAAATCATCCGGATAAAGAAATTAAATTTCTTCAGTAAATATAGAAGTAAAACGTACTCTTGATTTTAACATTTTATTTTCAATCCAAATGAAAAGGTTCAAAAATAGTCGCTTTGTAAAGAAGTTCTACTATATAAATAATGAGGCAGCAGCAGCTTTTCACAGTCTGTAAATGTTGTTGACAGGGAACGTAGGAAGCAAGGATCCAAAAGGACGTTTTAGAGGTCAGTTACTTATAAACATATGTTTGGCATGTACGTGTCCAATTCAATCCATATTAAATTACAAGCAAATCTAAGCAGATAGCAGCAGTTTCAGTCAATAATCGTCTCTTACGAACAAAATTTAAATTACACGAGCTACTTGTATGACTATTATTGTCAGCACGCGACAGTTGAAATGGCATGATAACTAGCAACCAAATACTGCATTATAGTGCTCAATGATGGCAGTAGAGTTTCCCTAAGCAACTGTGTAATCATTTATAGGTTTGACAAAAATTAAGTAAATGTCTAAGACAGCCCATTACAAAGATTACCCAAACGTTTTTCGGAGGGGAAGCTTAGATGCTATAAATTACTTTCTCCGGTAAAGTTTTGTAACTAACACAGGCATTTTGAAAAATACTGTATACACCAATATTAACGTAAAGCCCGTATTATTGATCTTTCTGCATCAAACAGGAAATGCGCTGTTTCAGCAAGTAGACTCTATCTCGCATACCGCCTATGCCATAATCATACCAAACAAACAATTCATCAAGTGCCCTGGTTCAAGTGTTCCCCTCTTGCAAGTTCATGGAGGTAGGAAGTAAGATGGAGTCGCCCTAAACAAGTTTCTCCCGTACCCTGCTCTGAAGCACCGGCGATCCCTACGTGGTGATCAAAGCATTGGGTCATTTAACATTGAGTTCAATGGGATTTGACGCGTTCGGATGTAAATATTTAGTAATTACGTCGTAAATATACATATAAATGTATATATATTTTTTTTCTACAACACTTCAGAGTCCTAAGTATGTGAAAACAACATATTTTTAAACAACATTTCATTCTGAACGGAATTAAATGCTATGCTTTTCACAGGACAGTTTTCTCAGAATGGTTTAATTTGAATGAAATATTTTCACAAATTTTCGTTAATTACATTAGAAAAAAAATTAAGGTAATTCGATTTTATTCGGTTAAGGTACAAAAATTAAGATCAAAGTTTATTGTATTATTAATATTAAAATTATGCATTATTTCTTTTCTATTTATAGAGCTTCTTCCTAAAATACTTTCTTAAATATGACATGATTTTTTGGCTTCTGAGGCATCTTTTAAATATCAATTTATAATTAATGCTCTATTCGGTGCATTTTAAATTGGAGAATTATTAGGAATTAGCGAAATACTTTAAATAGTACTTGACTTTCTCTGAACATTTCTGAAAGGGAATAAAATAAGTTTTTTTTTTTTTTTTTTAAGTATTATTTAAAACTTGTAACTGAGTTATTATAAAATGCAAGGGGAATAATTCTTTTAATTATACTTATCAGATTTGTTTTACCCTTCATTTCAACAATACATATTCCAAAACTCTTTATTACGTTCTTAAGTGCGCATCTTTACAATACCTTTTAACAGATTGCTTTCCAATACGAACAATTCTTGCTTAAATAGTTCTATAACGTATTTGTCAACAGGATTTCAATTTATGTTTACAATTCAATATTAAGGTTATTATATATTTAGATAACATTTATAATCATTATAAATTAGATACATTTAATAATTAGATTTCTTCACAGTACTTTCGCAGTTGTTTATGATCGGACCTCATTGGCAGGATATACAAATGTTTTCACCTGCGTCGATTACCCTAGTTTCAAATTCTAAATAAGCTATCTTGATGATGTAGCACGTTCACATGGTCACATCATCTTGACTGCACATGGTACTTCCGCCAAATTCGCAAATGTATCCCTCTTCTGTTCCACACATTTGTGTAAAACTGTACATAGTTTTACACAAATATGTGGTTCCAAATCAAGGAAAAACTAACTTGTTGGCATATCTGTGTGTATATTTATTAATTTTGACGAGGATTGCAGCATTTGATGGTAATTTTATTTTTAATTAACCCAAATAAGTAAAACGTGTAAGCCCAAAGTGATTATTTTTCAGATATATAAAATTAAAACGATGGGTTTGAAATGAGCAGCAGTAAAGCCTCTCCTCTAAAAAATTTTAAAAGGTACATGTTACAATAATATATGGATGTGAAAAAAAATTGTTTTATTTAAAACATTTTGACGTTTGGAAAATAAAATAAAAGTAGCGAATACTCTATCAAGGGTATCGAAAGACGTATATAATTTTAAATGTACCGTAAGGTATTTTTCATTCTTTAAGCATAACATTTTTCTTAAAATCTACATCTTTGTAGTGCAACAGCTTAGAATTTTATAAAACAAATTCATAATCAAAATCGCTGTTGTTAGTTATCGAAAAATAACCAAGATGTGATTTTTGCGTAAATGTCACTAAACTATACAAATTGCTATTATCCATCACACTATGAATGTTTCTTTCATGCGAAAGTGTCCCTTTTTCGATTTCTATGGAAATGTCGTGTGTCGAAATACTATCAGAATCTTGTCAAGCGAGCTTCTGAATGTAAACAAAGAACACCCCATCTGGTGACCCAAGCTTCGAAGCAGTGCTTCACCTCTAGCGCGGGTTGGCCCCTCCTCCCTTTCCTACCTCCATGTGCAAGTTAGTCAGGTGGGGGCTAGAATGAAACAGAACATTTCCCATGTTCAACCTTTTGCAAGAGCAGCGTCTCAGAAGAGAGTTTGGAAATTGGAAGAGTTAACAAAAGAATAACACAAGAGAAAGAAGAAGTTAAGAACCGTTAACAAAAGAATAAATCAAAATCAGGATTTAGTCTCAGCGTTTAGAAATTGAAAGCTATGGAGTAACTTTTCGGAATGCAGTATTCGACGTCAGTACTATCGTACGTTAGCTAAACGGAAGACTCCTATTACATCATAAATCGGTTCATTTCATTCATTAAAAAAATTATTAGTCCATGAATTTTATTGATTTAATGTATTATCTGTACATATTGAATACAACTGGCCACTTCTTACGTCTGGAACCCTTTCTTTCAAATAACTCTGGAATTTTCATGTGTTAAATTAAAAAACACATGCATGGTATTCTGCTTTTCGTTTTCACCGGTGAGTAATAATATAATTAATTGAGTTTTGGCATTCAATACCAGGAATGTGATTTGATTGCATTGAAACTACACCTTATGTTTCCATTTCAATCTTGTTACGAAAAAGAATTTTATCAAAATATTTCTTTTATCTTTATTGGATGTATAATGTTTTTATACCTTCGTTATTTTACTTCATATACTTTCATTTATTAATGCGCTCGTTCTTTTAGATGTCGCTATTTAAAACTTTTAGTCATAGTTACATTAATTTTGCTGAAATCAGGAACCTTTTCGCAAGCTTTTTTACGCCTGACCCAGTGTAATTTTTAACACACTGAAACTTTAAAAAAAGATGTCTGTCATGCCATAAGTGCATTTTCTAGGCGAAATAATCGCAGGCATTCTGCGAATCCGAACACTGAATGAACTTGAGAGTGGATTCCCTTCCCAGAAACCCTTATCCACATCAATAGCGCAGAAGGCAAAATGGTAATGGTGAAATGACGGTAATCACTTTTCTGAGTTATTAAGGAACCACACAGGAATTCAAATTTCCATTGCTAGCTCTAGTAATAGAACGTACTGTTGAGGGCTGCCCTAAGGGTCTTGCTAACTTCACGGTAGACTAAGGTCTTTACTAAGAATCGATGTTGGTTCTCACTTTAATGTTGATTAGGTCTGATAAACTCTTAGTTTTTCAAGCCATGCGTGATAATTTAAGTCCATGTTTATGGAATGCATTTCAGGTTTACTTTTCCTCAAGTTATGGATTTAGCTATATGTCATTACGAACAAATTCATATGTAAATTTAAATCGTTAC